CCGCCTCCGCCTCCGCCTCCGCCTCCGCCTCCGCCTCCGCCGCCGCCACCACCACCACCGCCGCCTCCTCCACCACCACCAGATCCATCATCGCCGCCATTGTCTCCGTCTTCTGGATCGGGAATTATTCTGTCTCCACAATCGACAGTATCAGGCCATTCACATCTTTCTAGATGCGGATCATAAAGTAGATTTCCTGGGCACTTCAATGCTACTGGTAGTCCATGGTCACATTTATAGAACTTATTGCAATATTCGTGAGCGATTAAAACACCATCAGAACCGTCGGCAGCGCAAATACTTGGGGCTTCACCGGGGTCGCAGTTGCAAGAGCCACCTCCGCCACCACCACCTCCTCCACCACCTCCACCTCCACCTCCGCCTCCGCCGCCACCACCACCGCCACCGCCGCCTCCACCTCCACCACCAGATCCATCATCGCCAGGCCCATCATCGCCAGGGCTGCTTTCTTCACTTTTGGTTTCATCACATTCTTTATCGTTATTTCCATCTTCGCAATTACAAAGTAGTCTGTCACCACATTCAACATTATGCGGCCAATCACATTGGTTTGTATAAGGGTTAAATAAAAGATTGTTATTACAAACCATAGGCCTTGGACGACCGTGAAGACAAATGTAATATTTATGGCAAATTTCATGAGCTATGAGAATACTATCAGACCCAGGTCGCGCACAAATCTCTGGTGCCTCCGCTGGATCGCAATTACAAGTCTGCTCATTGTCATCGCTTTCCTTACTCTCATTGTTACCAGGGTTTTCATCCTTTTCAGGGATAGCCCGGTTTCCGCACTTTACATTGTGAGGGTAATCACAACGCCTAGCGCAAGTATCGAATAGAAGATTGCCGGCACAAGTTTGTGCCACTGGCCTTCCGTGCGCACACTGATAAAATTGATTGCAATTTTCGTGCGGAACGAGACCACCATTATTAGCTGGGAGGGCACAAAGTGATGGCGCATCACTAGGGGCCCAGTCGCAAGTGTTTTCATTTTCATTGCCGTCGTCTTCACCTTCCCAATCGCCTTCATTGTCGTTACATTCGGTGCGATCGTGAACTTGATCTGTTATTCTATTTCCACAATCAACGTTGTGAGGCCAATCGCACACTTCGATGACCGGATTGTAAAAGAGTCCTTCAGAACAACAAAATGGAACAGGCTTTCTATTGGCGCATTTGTAGAATTTGTCACAACGTTCGTGCGCTACGTGCAGATTTGCAGAGCCTAATGCACTGCAAATGTTGTTTGCCTCTTCGGGATCGCAGTTGCATACTAATCTGCCATCTCTACCTAAAAACTCACGCCCCTGCGCAAAGAATATTGCACAGAGCAATGTGAGCAATGTACCTGAAAACAAAAAAACCCATAATTAATGTTTGCAAACCTTCAACCGTTGATATTATTAGCTTAGTTTTATCATAATCATTTTTTCCTTGCATAATACTTTTTAAATTTTATAGTTAGGTAATATAATTGATTCTTATTGATTGATTGATAATTAATAATGATTGACTTCCACGATGAAGGAGTAACATCGTGTAATAAAAATCAAACCCGCAAAATTATAATTTGCGTAATTACTGGTGGTAGGACCTCTTGTGAGTCCGCACGGGTGGGTACCACCACCCTGCCTATTTCTGCCGTGAAGCAGTAATGCGTTTCGGTTTGAAGGGTGGGGCAGCCCTTGAAACTATACTTGAGACCTTAGAACTTGTATCTCAAGGTGGGTGGCGCATTTACGTTGTGAATGTCTATGGGCTCCAGTAACCACTTAACACCAGGTGAGCTGTGAGCTCGTCCACTCATCTAAGCAATAAAAAAATAAAAAATAAATATAATGATTAGTATACAGGGGGGGATACCTTGTACCCGGCTAAGTACCTCCACCAAATATGAGCCCCATATACACTGGCCGCCCGTAAAGTAAGTAAAGGATCAGATTAGTAAAAAATACAGGGCTCCCTAAGCCTGCTCTTAGTGATAGTGCTGAAGGCGTCTAATGCAAGAGTTATTGAATCTGTAAGGACGTGTCTAGGGCGTTGACGGTGACTGGCTCCTGCGTGATAAGGATTTGACGAGTGTCAGCGGCGGCAATAATAAGGCGATTATCATGACGCATTTTCTTATCGAAGTAACAATCCGACGCTGATTTCATAAATATGTTTTCGGATCGATACCTTTTAACGGTAGGCAGCGGCTTGACTCTGCCCCTGGCATTGCTGACGTCCATGGACGATGGTAACCACTCACCATCAGATGGGCCGTATGCTCGTCGGCCTACAATGGCATTAAAAAAAAAACGAGGCCTCGGCCGTCGTGTAAGTTGACGAACCACTGAGCTCCGACGGATAATTATTAATAACTAGCTGACCCGGCAAACTTCGTAGTGCCTCAATCGATAAATAAAAGACCCAAACTTTTGTGTAAAATAAACTTAAAACAAACAAAAGGAATCCGTCCGATTTTTATTTAATTCCGAGTATTTTCATATTTATCTACCTTTTAAACCTTCTCTGGACTACCACAAATAATTCAAGACCAAAATTAGCCAAATCAGTCCATTCGTTCTCGAGTTTTAGCGAGACTAACGAACAGCAATTCATTTTTATATATATAGATAGAAGATAGATTATTGACGTGTGTGTGCAGGCCGCGTGAGCGAACACCGCACTCGCGTAAGTCATGACGGGCCTTATGCAATTTTTGCAAAGTGTCACCTTGTTCCCAAGGGACATTTTACTCCGCTTACCGATCGTGGGGTAGAGTCTGCCAAGAACAAACGCGGTACGGTTGCGGAGTGGCCTTTACGTACGACCACCCCATCAAGCAAACGATCAGATTAACATACGTACATTATTAAAAATACATACATAAGACATGGATACTTTCAATATCTGACGCGCTTGAGTATGTCTATATAACAGCTTTTTTTTTACATTTTTGAAAATCTATAGCCGCTCCTCCCACCCATGTAAAGATATAAGCTATAATAGATAGGTTGGGGAAAAAGTCTTTTCGCATTATAGTATGTATGAACTTGTAATAAAATCTCTATGGCTATACTATTTGTATCTGGCTGGTTTTGGTATCATTAAAAGTTTAAATTTTAAAGAAGATAATTCCAAATTTAAATTAAGAAAATGTGTGATTTTTATTTATTTTTCGTACTGTCAAGATGAGTGAATCTAATGAAGAAATTCGATACATTTTAAAATTTTACTACAAAAAAGGTAAAAATGCAACGCAAGCCGCGAAAAAAATTTGCGATGTTTATGGACCTAGTGCAGTGTCTGTGAGAGTTGCACAAATTTGGTTTAAGCGTTTTCAATCAGGAAATTTTGATGTCAAAGATGCACGTCGCCCTATTACGGATAAAATGGATGCAATTTTTTAAAAAGTGGAGCAAGATCGGCATATCCGTAGTTACGACGTACGTGAAGAACTGGGAATTGACCACAAAACAGTTTGGCGCATTTGAAAAACACTGGGTACACAAAAAATGTCGATATTTGGGCACCTCACGAGCTCACTGGGAGAAACCAAATGAACCATGTACTCATTTGTGATTCTTTATTACGACGTAATGAAACCGAACCATTTTTTAAGAAGCTGATAACTGGTGATGAAAAGTGGAACACGTACGACAAGAACGTTAACGTTAACGGGTTAACTCGCAACAATGTGACGCTGTGTGTGTGGTGGGATTGGAAGGGTTCATTACGAGCTGTTACCACCAGGCAGGACCATCGATTCTGAACTCTACTGCGAAAAACTGATGAAATTAAAGCAAGAAGTTGAGAGAAAGCGGTCGGCATTAATCAACAGAAGGGGTGTGGTTTTTTTAATCATGATAACGCTAGACCTCACACATATTTAGCCATTCAGCAAAAATTAAGAGAGCTTGGCTGGGAGGTGTTAATGCATCCGCCGTATAGTCCTGACCCAGATTTCCACCTGTTTCGGTCTCTTCAGAATTCTTTAGGCAGTGTCAAGTTAACATCACGAGAGGACTGCCAAACCCAATTGTCGCGGTATTTTGATCAGAACCCCCAAAATTTCTGCAATGGGATCATGTCCCTACCTACAAGATGGCAAAAAGTTATCGAACAAAATAGTAACTACATACTTTAGTTAAATGTAAATAAACTATATTAAAAAATGTTGTCAATTTTCTTAAAAAATGCGAAGACACTTTTTCCCCAACCAAATATAAAAAAAATATTATTATCTAATTTTGCAACCTAATAGGTCTCTATGAGGCTCGAGTAAATCCTCATTTAGCATCGTGGGCTCCTCTGCTATTAACACATATCATTTCCGGTTTTGTTGGTAATTTTTTTTTTGTCTAAAGCATTTTTATTTATTTTTAATCACTTTTAATCACTCCAGTACTGCCAGAGAATTCACACTTAAAACTCACCTTTCATTTAATTAGCACTATCCACTAGTAGTAAAGTTTGCGACGTTGCACAGAAACTGATAGCTTAATAATTGATTGCACATTATTTATACGTTCCTTCTGATTTAAATTTATTCACTACTGATAATCTGTTTGATTAAAACAAAACACTGATTGAAGTGCGATTTCTGAGAAATTAAAATATGACGATAAGTCGCAATTATGACAAAGGCCATACTCCAGTTTTAATAAAATTTTCGTACGTGAATCAATAAAAACTTCACAATTCACGCAATAAAACTAGGAGCAGCAGAACACAAAAGCTAACCATCCAATTAAAAGGGTACGACCTAAAAAAATTCCCTGAATTGCACCTCAATTTTTTTAGGATTTTTTTTATATAATATTAGTGCCTATACTTTAGAGAGTCGATATCGGCGCAACGATTTAATACTAATTTAATGAATAAATAAAGTCTTTTTACAAAAAAATATGCAGAAATACTCATGTGGGTCGAATGTCGTTGATTTTTAGTCACTGGCGTGTTTCCCTTTGGTGTTGTGAGGATTTACATAATTCTACGTATGTCCAGTAGCACCGCCCGATTAGCCTTCTCTCCCAGCGATAGGCAAAATGTACGAACGACCGATTCGTAAATGCCTCTGGGAATTTATTACTTCGAAAGGCATCCTCATAAATGAACAGTTTGAATTCGCCGCCAAACACTCGTGCATCCAACAAGTGGACCGCCCCACGGTGCACATCTTTGATCTTTCTCATTGATCTTTACGACAACTTTAATCTAGAACAGATTCGTAAGTATCCTAGGAAGCGTCAAAACGCTATTTTGAACAAGCGGCGCAACACGCTAACCCTCTTATTGTGGCAACCGCTATCTACGTATCCGACCCAGGCGACAGGGCAAACCAAAGCCGCCGTCGCCCAAAACACGTCTTGCCCGATTCCTCGGATCCCCTCTCGGTGCTTTAAGCACCAGTCACCGTCCTCGTTGAATTCGTCGATTGCGACGAACAGTTCGACGAGCGAACTAACCCATTGACACAGCCCACTGAGTTTCTCACCGGATCTTCTCTGTGGGTCGAAACCTTAGAACTTATATCTCAAGGTGGGTGCCGCATTCATGTTGCAGATGTCTATGGGCTCCAGTAACCACTTAAAACCAGGTGGGCTGTGAGATCGTCCACCAATCTAAGCAATAAAAATTTTTTTTTGGACTGAACAGAGCAATCACAGTCTATGTTCTGATACCTCCAAAACCTCCAAAACTGGTACCATGATTTCCTTTAGTTCACTGTGCTTTGTGTTCTTGATATAGGTGTATAATGATAATTATTATAGACGCACCAATTGTTGTTTTTCGTCATTGATTCGCACTTGGCTACGTTGATACCGCCTTCTTATAAAAATATGTTATTGTTTTACAATAAAATTTGCTTTATCAAATTACGCTGCTACGTAAAATGTTAGTTTTTCAATTTGGTAGTTTAATAAACCAGTTAATAAACGCATCGATTTACCATCGCAGTGTATGGTGGTGTGTATTGTATCAGAAGATTGTAGTTCTGTGACAGATTAATGTAGCCAGTATTAGGTGCATGGCACTCTAGGGGTGTATAGGATCGCATCTGGCCCGCAAATACGCTGCGGCGTTGCGACGTCCAAAACGCGCGATCGCAGTCAGGGCGATCTGGGGATACCGCATCGTCTGCTTCGACAAGACGTGTGATGACGGGACGCTGTCTTTGAACATGGAGGCGGAGGCACTCGCCGCCGATTACGGGTGGCGATGAGATCTTCGCGACGGGGGAGCTGTGTTCCGACCAGACTGAAGTTTAAATGTGGAGGTTCCCATCTCGGCGTTTCGTGCTGAAATTGTAATCTCGCCGATTGGGCGAACTTATCCTACGGACTGCGTAGTCGGGGCAATATCGTGACCTCGTTGCGCCAATCTAACCAGACTTGTCATTGAAAACCGTCATCGGTACGATGCTCGGCAACGACGAGTTCTGGAGGGCTATGCACGACTTTTACGAGTCTACCATCTCGCAGAAAGAGGTGGCGGAACGAGATTGGAGCTCATCCCTATCGGCACCGATCAGTTGCTGGCGAGCCCGTGGCCAGAGAAGGAACGAGGCGTCTTCCCCCTTGTGGAGGGCGATGGGGTGACTTAGGGGAGATGGATGAGGCCGTGCGGCGCGCTATCATAAATCGCGCTAAAATAAAAATATATTGCCAGCCGTGATTATTCGGAGAGACTATTTTAGTACAGTACGTTTTATTTTCAGTCTCACCTATAAGCTCAGTATCGCTTAATTAGATTGTTTTAGGAAATTCTGATATTCATGTGAAAAACTTGTTTCTATAGATACTTCCTACCTCCAATGGAATATTTTGCGATGATAATCTGCTCATATACGTCAAAAAAATCAGATTTAATTCAATTGGTACTGATTTGTTTTCATTTGTACTGTAGTAATCTGATT